GGAGTCGCTTATAATGTGTGGGGGTTAGGCCGGAGTCGCTCATAATGTGAGGGGGTTAGACTGGAGTCGCTCATAATGTGTGTGAGAACGGAGACAGTATGTTGTGTCATTCAGAGGAATGAGTACAACTTTGTCCAGATGTCGATGCAATATTTGCTCCTGTGTGAGTCATCCTGACCCAGTTTGGACCAGCATGAAGGTTTTATATCAGTGCTATATACCTCCGTTCTCTGCTCGAGCTGTGGGTGGGAAAGTTGGACAATATTACACATTCATTTTTATTTTATGAGTGTTTAGTTCTGTACTGCAGCCTTCTGCACCATGAAGAGATGTACTGTATCCTATATACTTTATCCTACGCATCCTCCCCACTGTACCGGCAGCCCGCCCCCCGTGCCCCCCGTATGGGACGTGATCAAGGAGGAGGAGTTCGACGAGGGGGAGTTTGTGGAGCTGTTCGCCCGCACCGCCCCCGCCCCCCACACCAAGCCCCCCACCACCAGGACCGTCAAGATCAAGGTACTGGAACACGAGTATATACCCTTACAAAATTCTGGTCCCGCCTTGGATTCGGCTGAAGATTCGTTACACTCGGCTTGGAGTTATTCTGGGTCTGCTTGGCCACCCGATCGAAATGAGCTTCTGGTCAGAATCACCTTTCCGACTTTATAGTCGCGTGAGAGTATGACTAGTGTGTCCTGAGAGTATGACAAGTGTGTCCTGAGAGTATGACTAGTGTGTCCTGAGAGTATGACTAGTGTGTCCCGAGAGTATGACTAGTGTGTCCTGAGAGTATGACAAGTGTGTCCTGAGAGTACGACAAGTGTGTCCTGAGAGTATGACAAGTGTGTCCTGAGAGTATGACAAGTGTGTCCTGAGAGTATGACAAGTGTGTCCTGAGAGTATGACAAGTGTGTCCTGAGAGTATGACAAGTGTGTCCTGAGGTAAGTGTGTCTTGCGAATATGTCAACAGTCAAGTGCCTCCTGACCCAGTGAAAATTTACAGACCCGGCAGCTTCTGGTTTGGATTACCAGAAGCTGGTCGACTCTAAATTTTGTTAGGGGAGAGTATGAGAAGAGTTGGCTGAGCCGAGTTATACCGAGCTTGTAAGCTGCCCAGACGCTGCCATTCAAACTCTGAGTCGATGGGGGCATGAGCGGCTGATTTACGAGCTCCCCGAATCCTGGGCGGCACCTACGGTATTTTTAGAGTCGGGCTCGTATGAAAATTTTGTTAGGATAGTTTCTAGTACCTATACCTAATGTCTTGTAATAAATCGCCCTCACACCAAGCCATCCGCCACCAGGACCGCAAGATAAGAAGAGGAGTAGCTGTGAGCTGGTATAGCTATTGGTACTTAATTATTGTCTTATGCTGGTAGTGGCACCTAATATCTTGTACTGAAAGCTTGGTACAGTTATACTATGTGATATTTAATGCATCTAGCAGCCAAGATCAAGATTCATACAAGTTTAAGTTCCTACGTGCTACCTAACAATCAAGGTACCTACGTGCTACCTACCAATCAAGGTACCTACGTGCTTCCTACCAATCATGGTACCTACGTACTACCTACCAATCAAGGTACCTACGTGCTACCTACCAATCATGGTACCTACGTACTACCTACAAATCAAGGTACCTACGTGCTACCTACCAATCGAGATACATACGAGTACGTGCCGAATTCGTTTGCAAGAATTCGGTTTTCTATGTTTAACGTAGGAAAAATATTTTCTATGAAACTTGTAGCACCGTCTAGCTGAACTAGTGTGGCGCTTCTAAGTAGTTCCTAGGTACGCTAGTCACATTGTCTCTGTCGCTGGACAAATCTGACTAGGTACACTACAGTAGTTACACTAGTAGTCTCCCAGTCTCTCCAATATGCGGCTGCTACACGACACTAGGTACTTTTGACACTAGCTACCCAGGCTCCACTTAAGTACACAGGTAACCTAATTTCTTCCCTATGGGACTAGTTAAACTACACTAGACGTCCTATATTGACCTAGTCTCCTCCCTAGGTGGCCAAGGTGCTGGACAGCAAGCGGTCCCAGAACGTCGGCATCTTCATCACCAGCCAACACCTCGACATCGTCGACGTGGAGAACGGTGAGGGTGGCCGCCCTTAGCGCGGCCATATCCTGGTAAGGCAGGCCGACCTTAGCACGGCCATAAGTTTGTAAGGCAGGCCGCCCTTAGCGCGGCTGTCAGCCCGCAACCAGGACCTTGATGCTGCTAATATCTTGAATATTGTAAAATTAAAATGAAATATTTTGGATACATTATAGGCATAGAAAATGTTTTTTGTATAGGAAGGCATGTTTTGTGTTGCACGTAATGTGACCGTATACCGTACTTAGTATACAACTGGTGTACGTAACGTACACGTAGTATACAACTGGTGTACGTAACGTACACGTAGTATACAACTGGTGATGTACGTAACGTACACGTAGTATACAACTGCTGTACGTAACGTACACGTAGTATACAACTGGTGTACGTAACGTACACGTGTGTACGTGCAGCTGTGTACAACCTGGACACGACGCTGCTGGACCTGGAGGTGCTGCAGCAGATCTACGAAGTGGTGAGTGCTGGTGATGGTGACGGGGTGGTGGTGGTGACGTTTAATGAGGTGTTGAGGATATCTTAATGAGGTAATACTTGAATATTAATGTGATGATAAGGAGGTCTTATTGAGGTGTTGATGATATGTTAATGAGGTATTACTTGAATATTAATGAGTTGTTAAGGAGGTGTTAATGATGTATTAAGGATATGTTGATTAGGTATTACATGAATATTAATGAGATGTTAAGGAGGTGCTACTGAGATATTAAGGATATGTTAATGAGGTAATATTTGAGTATTAATGAGACGTTATATGGTATATTAATTACGTGACAACGAAGCAGTAATGAGACGCTAGTGAGACTCAAGCCTAAGCACAAATATGTTCAATATTTAACTAGGAAATATGAATGATCTAATAACTATTAAGCCACCTAACTACATCACGTCCTTGTTGTGACTCACTTGTACCTGTTTTGACTCACTTGTACCTGTTTTGACTCACTTGTACCTCGTATGTGGGTCACCAGCGCGGCACTCCCGAGGAGATTCTGCTCATCCGAGCGCAGGTTGAGGCGGACCCTGACCTACCGCTGGACAAACCTGAGCAGTGAGTCGGAGTGTCGGGGCAGTGAGTCGGAGTGTCGGGGCAGTGAGTCGGAGTGTCGGGGCAGTGAGTCGAAGTGTCGGGGCAGTGAGTCGGAGTGTCGGGGCAGTGAGTCGGAGTGTCGGGGCAGTGAGTCGGAGTGTCGGGGCAGTGAGTCGGAGTGTCGGGGCA